TATCTCTATAGATTTCATTACAGATCTTCCACCATCAAATTCATTTAATATTATCTTTGTAGTTGTTGATTGATTGACCAAGATGGCACATTTTATACCTTACAAGAAGTCAATTATTGGTGAAGAGATGACAAGACTCTTTATTACATATGGTTATAAAATGTCTATCGTTACCATGGATTGCCAGATGACATTCTGTTGGATCATGGACCACAATTTGTATTAAGATTTTTGAATGCACTTTTCAAGATTCTTAAGATTGATATCAATCTTTCTTTTGCCTCCACCCTCAAACTAATGGCCAAACAAAGTGGTTCAACCAAATCCTTGAACAATATTTGAGGTGTACCATCAATTATCAATAAGACGATTGAACTTCCTACTTGTTATTGGCACAGTTTGCATATAATAACACAATCCATGCATCTACGCAGTAAATGTCATTCTACTCAAATTATGGTCATTATCCAAAGTTGGATATGATATAGCCTTCAAAGTTGGCAAATCCAACAGCAGAGGAGTTTGCTACGAAAATGGCCTAACTTCAAGCAATCATAAAGACTCACCTAAAAATGACTCAAAAATATTATAAACTATTAGTAGATGAATTGATGAAGGAACATCATACATTCCAAGTTGGTGACAAAGTATGGCTTCTTTGGCAGAATATAAAAACCAACAAGCCATATTATAAGTTGGACTATCAAAGGTTGGGACCATTTATAATTCAAAAACAAATTAATTACGTAATTTATTACTTGGAGTTACTTTCATCCATAAAGATTCATTAAATCTTTCATGTTTCACTTTTTGAAAGGTATAAAGAATCAAACATACCAGGTCAAAGAAAACCACCACCTCCTATTGTTAAAATCAATGATCATATTGAATTTGAGATAGAAGAGGTATTAAATTCAAGGATAAGATATGGAAGTCTTGAATATATTGTCCATTGCTGTAGATATGATATCCATGATTCCACATGGGAACTAATTGGTAACTTTATAAATGCACAAATGAAGGTTCGAAATTTCCATCAATGACATCCATCCAGACCAAAAGCAACAAAATGAAGAACAATAGCTTGGTAAGATGGCTTTACCATGAAGATTTTTAGTTCTTGGCCTCATAAAAAAGGAGAGGGGGCAACCTCTAAAGTGGTAGTTATTGTCAAGTATTTAGAATAGTATAAATCAGTATTTTGAATTTACAACCATAACTTGTTTATATTCTTTTGGTCTTGTCTACTTTATATGATATGCATAGTCAAGAGATAGATACTTTGCAGTTCATACCATCTCAACCAAGTAGCTCGCGGAGATGACCTTGAGATGAAGAGCTACCTGAACCATGAAGATGTCAAAGGATACCTAGTAATAGGTTACTGGTAATTGTGTTTGAGGTAGAATTTGCATATGAAGGACGTCCAGAAGGAGTGTTTGCAAGACAATTCCATAATGAAGATATTGAAGTTCATGCTTGGTCACAAGTAGAAGCCTTGGAGCACTATCGATGGCTATAAAGGCCTATAAATCATTTACCTTGTAAAAATAAAATAAAATATATAGTAGACACCATGCGGCAGATCTTCAATTTCTTGTGTATATACTAGCTTACTGCAACATTACTTTTTGGAGACCTCAAAGCTAGAAGAAGAGGTGATGTTATGGACATACAACTAAAGAAGGTTCCAGAAGGTACTAGTAGGTTCTAAGAAGGCTCTTGAAGGTTTTAGGAGATTCTAGGAGGTTCCAGAAGGTTTTGAAAGGTTTCAATAGATTCTAAGAAAGTTTTAGAAGGTCATAGGAGGTTCTAGAAGATCCTAAGAGGCTTTAGGTGATTTAGGAAGTTGCTGAAGAAGGATCTTAGGCTTACTTCGTTCTTAAACGTCATAGAAACTTCTTAAGAAGCTTCATAGGACCTAATATATATAGGAGTCGACGCTGAGGGGATCCTCAATCTCAACAACTTACTTCTTGTGGTCTAGCCAAGATCTTCTTACCTTGTATCTAGTTGTTGTTTTAATGTCCAGTTAACTTTATTCCTTGATCTTGAATCCTTGTCTTATATATGGTTCCTAACAATACTACAATCAATAATAAATACATAATATTAATAATTAATTAATTAATATAAATTAATATTATTTTAATAATAGTAATAATAAGAAATAATTATTTTTTATTTGTAGTAAAATAAATCATATGATATAAAATTATTAAATTAAATAAAGTAAATATAAGATTTTAATAGTTAATAACATAAATTATGATAAATTTATTCAAAAAAATATATCTACATATAATTAAGAATGAAAAAAACTAGATAATAAAAAATATATATTTATAAAAAAACTATTGCTAGGTATTAAAAATTAAAGATTTTTAAACCAAAATTAAATTATAAGAAAGATATTGATAAGAATGAAAATGTAACATATAATTATATTTACTTAGAAAAGTTGAATCAAATAGAAGTAAGCAAAAGTAAATAAAATTATCACTTTCTTGTTGAGAAGCTTTTTAGAAGCTTTATAGACATTACATGTATTTATAGATAATTGATAGATTGACAACTTGGCTATATATTGCACATTTAGCCACTTGTATTTCAAATTGGCCATGTGGTATATATGTTGGAAACTTATTCTATAAATTTGATATGTGACTAACAAGTTGAACACTTGTCATATGGCCTATAAAACATAGTTATATAATTCTTTAGCATATAATATATGTAGAGGAAAATATGAGGCTTTTTTTACTTTTGAAAATATCTTTTTTATGATCTATCTAGGTTTAAGTTTCTTAATCCTTTTGCATTTGATAGTAGTCATTCTAATTTCAATTTCATATCTATTTTTTAAATATCTATTTTCTTTCTTTTGATGATATAAGAATATACTTTTATTTTTAAAATTAATTATGATTCATATTTTTAATAAAAAATTATTTTAATTTTACATATATATATATATATATATATATATATATATATAAAAAAAAAAAAAAATAACTTGAATGATATATAGATGCTTTATAAAAACCATAAGGCTTCTAAATTAATCTTAAAAGTTGTATGATATATAGTTACATAGTTGATGTTATTAATATAGTAAATATCTACTCTAAAAGTATTGACAAGCTTATGAAGATATACAATAGTTACAAATCTATTCTCTTACCTGCTAAGTATAATATCTAAAAATAAATTTAAAAAAAAAAAATCTATAATAAACTTTAATAAATTTACAAGTCAAAGTAGAAGAGAATAATCAACAATCTTTAATATTAAATATTTTTTTCATAAAAATAATAATTTATTATTTTTAAAAAAATAATTAATGGTAAGAAAATAAAATTATTAATTTAAAGGTGGATAGTAAGCAACCTTTAAAATACAATAAGAGAAGTGTGATAATTCACTAACTTCTCAAACAAAATAAGAATAATAAATAAAAACCTATATCAAATTATTAAGGATATGAATCACAAAAAATCAAAGCATCAATACATTCTTGTGTCACTTGAAGAAAATAAACAATCACTTAAAGATAGTATAATATTAAAATCATAATAGCTATTGTCAAAGACAAGAAGACCAAGTTTAGGGTTTAGGGTTTAGGACCAGGTTTAGGATTTAGCTTCTAAAAAGCTAATCCATAAGATATTAAAAAATTTACTCCTATATATTTCTATGTCAAGAATATGAAACTCAAAGAAAGAAAATCCTCAACACACTCTTGTATCACTGAAGAGAACTACAAAGTCACTCAAAAGGTGATGTAATATTAAACTAGAATGGCTATTGCCAAAAACAAAAAGATTAGAAAGTCTTGAAATAAGACTAAAGATTAGAAAGGCATTGACAAGAGTGAAGAAGGCTTCACTCTTGCCTCTTTATATACTCTTAACTAGGAGCTACATGGCAATATCCTATAGGACCTTCAAACGTGTTGACTTTGCTACTTACATGTCTTAACTTGCAAGGCAAGTTATCTATGTATGTGCCACATAGTTAGCTTATTCCATAAGCTACCAATATGTGACTAACTTGTTGGCCAAGTTTCTATCCTATAAATACATCTAAAGTCAAAACCGCATTTATGAAGCTTTTAGGAAGCTTATCTAGAAGACTTTATGAAATTAATCTATATTTACCTACTTCTACCTACTTATATAAGTAATTATTGAGGTAAATGTATATGTCTGTGACATTCTATCTAATTCCTTTAATCTAAATAAATATGTATTTTTTTGATACTATGTTCAATACTTTAGAAATTTGTGCTTATTTTAATTTTTTTATTCAAAATACATTACAAACATTCTAATTTTTTACATTGAAGTTTTGAAAGGATTTAATATTCTATTTTTTTGAATTAAAATTATAGACATGTTGTAAAAAAATATATAAAAAAATTTTACTATTATTTTTTTATAAGTATTTTTTGTGAATATATATAAATATACACAAATATTAAAACTTAAGAATGTATTTGAAGAAAATGCAAACATCTTGTTACAACCTTGATCTTATAATTGTGCTATAGTCCTATAAGATGTGCTAACTTCTACATTGCTTCATTTCTTGCTTACTAAAACTAGAGTTATTACAAATATAAAAATGGCCCATATAAACATAATCAAGGAATTTATTTAGCATATCAAATCACATGTTAAAACTCTTGATTTATTTGCCAATTAGAAAAAATAGCTTCAATAAATATGAATCAATTATCATATATTTAATATTTTTGTCAAGAAAGATTAATATTCATTTCCAATAATTTTTGAAATATTTAGAAGAACATTAGTAAACAAAAATCCAAGCTAAGATTACTTCAAAGAGAATTTACAATCTTATTTATTTGAAACAAACAAAGTTATAGAATATAGTATTTCATTCATGATAAAGATATTTTGAACACAATAATGTCTTTACTTTAATTAGGAACCAGTAATATTCGAATTTGGGAAAAAATGTTTTTTTAGAACATCTATACTATTCCGAAGATACCACTTTAATAAAAACTTGGTATCTTTCAAAACAAATAAAACAGAAGCATAACATTTGACTGCTTCTTAATTGTTATAGATTTAAGCATTCTATACCGAATGAAGGAAGTATTACTCTATCCGTTGCCCTCCCTCTGTTCCTAGCCCTTATCTTCACCCACTCGTTCTCCCTCGTTTTCCATGATGGGGTGGAGGGACGATTTTGTAAATGGGTGGGTAATTTGAACATTTCCCTACATATATATACACACATTCAAACCTATTAAGAATGATCCTTTGCATCTTTAATCTTGAAACGATTTCGGCTCTTGCCAACTTTGAGTTTTTTAACAAACAGTTTACAATTGATACATTATCCTTTCGAATGGGTGCTATCAACACCAATTGTGGCTCAGGCGATAAATTGTTGTCGACATTTACAATCAGACAAACTGTGATATTCAACATAAGCGCCACATGTACTGAGATTATTCTCTAATCACGCCATGCCCTGAAGAATGAGCTCAGGATAAATGCTTGGACATCTTTAATATTCAGCATCAGTGACACATAAACCAAGGTCAACCTCTCTGAATTAAAAGTTGTTATCCGTATCCATTGCTGTGGCTCAGGAAATAAGGTATTGTCGTCATTTACAATCAGACAAACTGTGATATTAAACATCAGCGTCACATGCACCAGGTTAACTCTCTACTCTCTCACTGGAAACGTTCTAGAGTGTGAGCTCAGAAAAAATACTTTTGTCGTCATCTATGATCAGACAAACTGTGATATTGAACATCAGCGCCACACAAACCAGAAATAACCTCTATGACTTGCAAGAAACGAACCGTCTTCATTGAAGTGGCTCAGGAAACAAGTATATGTCGTCAGATAGAATCAGACAAACTGTGATATTCAACATCAGGGCCACACCTACAGAGGTTACCCTCTAACCAGTTACAGCTCATGTCCTGGACTGAGCTCAGATAAAAAAATTGTCGTCATTTGTGATCAAAGAACTTATGATTTTGAACCGCAGCGCTACACATACCTAGATAATTAAGACCAAAGTACTCCCAAATTTCTAGAAAGAACAATTTAGGCAGGTCAGAAAGATTCGTGTCGGGAAAAGAAAAAAGATTGGGAATCAAGCCTCACTAACTGAAGACATTTGTTCAAGTTAAGTGGCAAAGCCCTCAAGCGAAAATTATACGATCATAAATCACCTAGATCTTAGCATAAGTTTCTTTAAACAGTGTGACAGTACATGGAAGTGAAATGGCGTATCAAGCTTCCTCCTTGCGCCATTATCGTTCATGCCTCGACAGAACCTAAACCGGGCAGACACATGAGCGTAGTAATAGGGTTTTAGGTATATTGCTCCGCTCATGCTCAGCCCAGTCAGGGATGTTAAGAATCACCCAGTTTTTATTCTGAACTCCTAATCAACGAGACGGATTCCCTTCAATAATGTAAAAAACTTATAAAACACATCTGCAGAAGCAGTTTAGCATAAAACAAAAGTGAGAACTGCAAAACATCTGTCTGAAGTAGACCCATCCCCTAGTATATCATTGTACGGACTATCGAAATGTGTATACTAATATCGCAAACTGAAGCGCCAGCGAAAGAAACCAAACATGACCTGATTAAGAGACTTTGAACCAAGAGGTAGACTTCTTAGAGATGGCGAATACGAGAGAAAGATCAGGTAGTCGTGCGGAGATGGCACTTTTCAGAAGAAGAAAAGTGACGCTGCGCAACAAAGGCAGTGGCTAGATAAGCATGAGAGCTCCATTGGGTCGGTGCTAGTACAATCAAATCAGACATGTGTAAGATTCTACAGAGAAGTTGAAGATTGCAGTGATGGCTTGACCGGGCTGAGTCAAACCATTAGCTTTGATTCCACTACATGTTCTCTTAAACTTGTTTGTGTCACAAATAGTTATTTTTGTTACAATATCGCTCTACACATTCGTCGAACATTGTAACATACTGACACATTCTAACATACAACAAACACCAAAGAAATCTCTAAGGTAGGAAAGGTAACAAAACAAACGCTCTCAAACACCAGGGCGGCTCTACAAACTGCATACGAAGTCGCACACCTTCAGCAGAGAAACTGCTACATCACCTAAACAATCCACCATGTGCCCTGCAAACTTCCCCTTAACACTAAACGTGGTGTACTAATGGATTCAGAACTCATAGTTTAGATTGGCACAGAATGCTAACGTGCTACCGTAGAGAAACCCTAAACAACACTCAGATATGAACCAGCCTAGGTTACGCCTTACCTGCGGATTGTGGGTGCTTCACCAGGATCGAGTTCTATGGGCGTAGCTGGAATTTATAGCCCAGGGGTGAAAGAATAACTTTAAAGTTTAGGTCATCTCCTGCAATTCAAATCTCACAGAACAAGGTCCCAGCAGTCAATAAGCACTTGCTGGACTTTAGGTTTTACGCTACTTTTGACCTGTAAATCCTAATAAAATTTCGATTGGTATGCAATGGACATCCTCGAAAGTTCATCCATAATTGAATCTCTGGTATTCCAAAAGTGCCGCTTACTGCAGAATGTGGAAAGAGAGTTTCTGTTCCATGAAATTTGTTAGGATTGAATTTGTGGTGGTCGCTTGATATCATCGATCACGATTGTGTCAGCCTTAGAGAATAGTCCTTAGGGTAAGCAGCAGCAGTACCGTGGGCTTTAAGCTGGTCTCTCTGTGTGTGTCCCTCCACAACCAATTTTAACACTCGGAGTAATAATGTAGAATATTTTACGTGGTGAATGATTAAGCCATTTCTTCAAAGTCATGTGTTGAGAAAACCAGAGAAGGCTGCTCAGTATGCACTGGTGCCCTGATTGAGCGATTAAATTCGGTGACTGCTCCGTGATAGTCAACTTACCGTGCTGTTTGGCTTTCGCCTTGGACCTAGTAAGGTGGGGGCATCTTGTTCCCATTTCAACCCCTCGCAGTGGATGTCTGCGGTCGGCGTTGCTCTATAAGTTGGCAACTGTATCTCTCTGAATTCTGATTATTATGCTGTAACATGAAGCATCAGCGTCTGTAAAATGATATAATACTTCATTTTCGTATTTTCCACGCCACCGATGTATATCCCTATGTGTCCTCGGCACTTCCACTTATGTACTTTAAGTTGTGAGGTCCCAATGAAAATCTGAAGGGTAATTTGCAATTAAGATAAGTGACCGAAACGGATTTCTTCCTGGCTTTAGATGAATGCTTTTGCAATCTGCAATTAATTGATTATTTTGCACCTGATGCTGTTGTGTCTTTCGTCGTGATCAGTCTTTTATCTTAACACAGCCAACATGGCCCTTACAGCGGAGAAAGGCCAGGGAAGATTTCATGTGCCAATGGGAGATCGAACTGCTGGTGAACCTCGACTATATATTATCGTTGTCCATAGACCACCGCTGGTAAGTACCAGCTGAAATCCTGGTTCACTTGAAATGCAGAACTGGTTCTGTGAACTGGAAAGGGTTGATCGAAACTAAATGAAGATTATACACTCCGGTTCGCACTGGAGTCACTTGCATAGATTTTGAGGATATGTTTCGTTTTGACTATAGTTGACTATGCAGAAAACACTTGAGTTTCTTAATGTTCTTCAGATTCATGGTATTCCAAAGGTCATGGAAGTGCTAACGCTTATGGATAAATTCGAGGATGCCAAGCGTCTGTAGAAGACAAAAAATGTTGAAGAATCGATTTTGGACAGAGATCTGCGACGCGTTCAAATTGCTCTATCTCTCTGGGCTTGTCTATGGAAAGAAAGTTTAACTAGCACTCCTCAGCCTTGGCATCGATGTTGTGCTGGTGCTTTCTTGGTGCTGGTTAGGGATTCTCCAGACTTAATTCCTTGTAGTGTCTCATGATTTTGTGTCAATAGGCAGATATTCAACGCGAGAGATTTACAACTTGGCACTTAGTAGTTTTGACTGCAGGTGCACATTACAGGGGTTGGTGTCTGCAAATTAGCTGGAGTCTCGGCACTTTAAGACCCCTGCCCTCTCCCTTCGGTCTCAACGAAGAAGGGGCGAAAAGAGGAAGAAAAACATCTACATTCCCCCTGGTCTGATGTTGAGGAAGTGGATCATGACAAGGATGCTACTTATGTGGATATTATTGGAGACCCAGAGATAGGCCCTCTTTCCATCCAATAGTAAGATTGTGAGGAAAAGTGATAATTCAGAGGGTGGCTATGTGGATGGCGAGGACGAAAAGGATCTTGAGGATGTAAAGAGGCATATTTTTAGGACAACAGTTTTGAAGGCAGTTCCTGAAAGATTTTAACAATCGTAGTGAATGAAATTTATAGTGGCATGATAAGACGTAGATCTGCTTTTTAGGACGATGAAGAGACAGATGCTGGATAAACGTGCTGGATAATGGGAAAAAATGTGGAACATGTTGATTCCAACGATGAATCTCAAGATACTGGCGTACTAGAAAAATTATGCCTGCTTCTCTTTACTGAATTTTCATGAACATACCCCATGTACTCAAAACTTCAAATTGTGGTTTTCTCAGGGTTCAAGTTCGCCATTCGTATTTTTTGTTGATAACGATCAAACTTCTACAAGAGTAGTCAGATGAGAGTAATCATTATGCAGGTTTGTCTCTTTGACAACAAAATCAAACAGATTATCAACTCCGTACTGAACCGCTTAAGTCTAAACAAGCGAGGTCATATGTGGAACGCCATGCAAGCTGATTCAGCGAAGCATGCAAATTCGTTTCATTATCTGGAAATGGTGTAGTCACTGAAAGCAGGTCAAGGGAAAGAAGGAAAGCTTGGAGAGAGGGCAGCGTTAGGTGTACGTTTGAAGACAAAAGTTGAATGAGTGACATTGTGTTCCTTCGTGCCTGGACAAGTTGATGTTCCTAAATTCTTCAATCGGGTTACTACATTACTTCAAGCAAAAGATGCTCAATGGAAGAGTATGAAGACAGTTGGGGCGCTTCGAAGCAAAAAGACGCTGCCGGTTCCTGTTAACCATGATTCACTTTACAAGGTATACATTCAAGTTCAAGGGATCTTTATCTTATGAAACAACAGTAATAACCTTCTCTTCGATAATCGTTAAGGATCTTTTGGAGACGTGTGTCAACGATTGAAGGAATTCGAAATAACTGATGCTTTAGTACCACCTTTTGTGTCATGTTCTCAAGGAGGCTGTCATGATGATGCAGAATATCAAGAGAAAACCTCGGTGTTTCAACACTCTAAAAGCTCCCAAATCCTTATGAGCAGCATGGCACCATACTGATAAGTCGGCTCAATTTATTATGACGTTAACCTCCTAATTGTTATTTCTATGCACTCATCACAGATACACTTACCATTTGGACTATTTTTTTCTGCCAGGGATGTGCTTCAGCAACCTCTAATGGTCTTCATGTTTTGATCTAACAATCATCTCTGGACGAGTTGTGTTGCTACCCATGTTCATTTATTTGTTTATCTGAACAGGCAAATAAGCGCCAGATCGAGCAAAATAAGAAGCGGAAGGTGTATATGCTTAAACAAGCTGCCCTAGACGAGATGTCCAGAAAAAAGAAAGCGTGAGGGGTCAGAGGACAGGTATCGTGAGAAAGCAGACAAGGGAAGAGCAGTGGCTCACATCAGTACGGTGATAATGAAGGCTTGCAATGCGGATGATTAACGAGGACTGCATGTTTTTGCTGCAGTATCTTTCTGGAATCTGAAGTATTTGGGTCTGACATCTTTCTGCTTGTGGTCTTACGATGCTAGATAATGATCTCCCTTTCATGAAAATATGTGGATCTGTGTGGTGGCTCAGTGAACTTGAAATTATGGAGTTGAAGCTATTTGTCTTTGTGCTGGGTCCTTGGTGATTACTGTGTTGTGATCACTTGTCAGCCTTCTTTTTGTTACTGATGGAAGCATTTGAGGGCTGTTTATCATCTGAACTTAACTGATTATTTGCCCAAACCAAATTGGATCCATATTTGTTGGGTCATTTTGGTTGGATAGCCTAATTGCATGGCATCTTAGGAATATTGTTCGTTGGAAAATTTGGTATTTGATGCTGTGAAGAAAAATAGTTGTTAGCAATTGGCACTTGGCGTGGTCAAGTATTCATCTTGAACCATTCAACTTGGTTCACACCGTTTATGACTGCTGTTTGGATTGAATTATCACATCATTATTATGTGGAATAATTTATTTGTGCAGATGATTTAGTGCTAACAATCTATGCACCTTTACAACATGGTGATATCTAAGCATATATTTTTCCAAGTATAAAAAGCTAAGAATACTAAGTATTACTTCTAAAGTGTCGTAACATTTTTTTGAAAAGTAAATAAATCAAATTACTATTTGCAATAAAATTTTAAAAAAATCAAGTCCTATAATAGTTTCAACTTATCTTCTTAAACCATCAAGGATATTACTTTGCATATTTATATAAAAGAAAAAATGTATACAACTTTATTTTTGTGTGTCAAGCTAGAAGATAAATAAGACTCAAGAAAAAATATTACAAGGCTTAAAGTAGCACCAATTGTACTTCAATATTTATTTACTTTTCTATTTTTATGTTGAATTCTTACTTCATACTTGCATAGCTTAAATTAAATTTTTCTTGAGCTGTTAAAAAAGTATTCAAGAAATTTCTCAGTTTTAAAATCTTATTTATTTTAGATAAATCCTAAGATAATTATTTTATTATTTATTATTAAACTTTTTTTCTAATTTTTGGAATATAAACTTTTGCAATTTATTTATAAATTTTTGAAGGATCCCATCTAGTAAGGAAGGTTCTGCAAAAAAATTACAAGTCTATATGTGAGTACTTGATAACCATAACCATGCTCTTTATTTTATTATATATCTGTTTTTTATATTTATTTTTTAATCTTATCAATAAAAAAAAATATGAGATATTTTTTTGTACATTCAACCCAAGCATCCTAAGTTTTAGTGATCATCTCTTTTAAATTCTTTATCAGATAACTCTAAAAATAATTTGATAACATTCTAGTATTGCATCATGATTTGAACAATTAATTTATAAACAATGTATTGTTCAGTTAAACTTTTATAAAGACAAATTAACGTTTAAAATAAATAACTAGTACTTGTATATACATATAACAACACAAGAAACTAAATTTTATAAAATTATGAAAAAAACAGTATCCAGTTTTAAATGATTGATGTACTAATTTTACTTAATTAATTTTAAATGTTTCTTTCTACAAAGATATAACTGGTGTTGTTTTAAACTAAACATCTCATTTACTTTCACGAATACATTTCTTGTTGACGAGCAAACAAGACCAACAAATTATTGGGCTAGAATCATCCTAAACTACCTAAGGTTGACGGTTTAAATACCAACTGGAAAATCAGAACCATCCATATACTTATGCTTAAGACACCCTTTTACAAGATGTGCAACCTCCCCCCCCCCCCAACAAATAAAAAAAACAAACAAACAAATTCATATTGAATATTTCTCAAAGAAGTGCAAAACGCAACCGTAACTGTACCTTAATTTGCAGTTGGAAACTAGTGTTGAAACCTCTTTCCAAGTCACAAGGTGAAGTTGGATGTACATGTATATCACAGTATGGGTGCGGCAACATAAAGATTCACCAGCATTAGCTCCATGCTGACAACAACATTGCGCTAGAATCGACATTGCAGGTGACAGGAAACGTGGACAATGGAAGATACAACATGTGTATGAGAACCTCAACATGACCAATGGCACAAAGTCGCAGCGACAATCCACGAAGAGATCGACAGTATGGAACAGGAGTCAACATACAGAATCACTGATGCAAAAGTCGACCAAAGCGCTGTAGACCAGGCTACGTAGGCTGTCAGAAATGGATATTAAGAGAGGCAATTCGAATGAAAGGAAAATGATGAATCAAGTATGTGTGCTCTGCACGCCTTTGGCACAAAAATCTACCAATTTGCAATCGTCTAAATCGGTAAAGCACACCACACACGAAAGGAAACTTGCGTCAGTGAGCACTGTGAAATCAATGGTGTCCCACTATCTAAAGAGCTGTACAATAAATCCCGGTTAATTCTAAGTCCCGCAAGCTAAGGCCACTGCACCGTGATCCATGCTCCCCTTGCAATCATTGAACAGCACAGCACAAAGCAACCAGCCCGGGATCAAATAGCTGATCTAGATGAGATCTACATTCTTGATGGAGGTCCCCCAGGAGCTAATTCAATCTTAAATCTTACATGATGCTGCATCAATCGTGAAGTCCTGGTTTCACCCAGATGGTTTGCAGTCGGACGAGAAATCAGCAGGGGAATTGTACAGGGCCTGCCAATGATTTATATCTGCAGAGTGTGATGGTCGGTCGGCGGCGGTAACGGCAACGGCGACGACTTCATCATCTGTAGATCTCGTTTAAGAATGAGTGATACGAGTCACCGGTCTCCAAGGATTCCAGATGAGCACCGAAGTCGGCGAGGTTGTCGAACGTGTCGAGAAAGGAGCTGCTGAACTTGTGGCTGTCCTTGAACTTCGATGTCCCCGTAGCCTCGTGTCCCTCAGTGTCGTCAGATGTATGCTCCACCGAAGCCACATCGGAGTTGCCCGAGCTAGGGGAGGAGCTTACAGCGGCGCCGATCTTCTCCTGCAATGGTTCCGTTTCCGTCTTGGCCAAAACAACTTCCGGCATGTGTCCGTTGCCATTCTCGATTGAAGGACTCTCTGTGGAAGGATTTGGCCTGGAATCAACCACAGGGGGTTTCGTCACGGCAGGCCGGCTGACAGGAGGACGACTGCTGCTCACGAAGGTAGTGCTCCCATCGAAGCTACTGGTGGTTGGCATGGTACTTGTGCAGGTGCTCTCCCCTTCCGTGGGTGTCACGCTCGGCAGCTTGGATAGTAGAGCTTGCAAGCTTGACATTGACGGAAGAAGGTTGGGAATGGTTGGACTCGTTGCCCCTTGTGGACTATTGTGCCCGGTGTTCAAGGATTTGGGGGGAGATGGACATTCAGGCCGGTGGTGAAATCCATCGCTGCCATTCTTGTAGGGATAATCCTTGAAATTCAAGATCAGAGGCTCCGAATCCGGTGGCCGCTTCGCTCCGAGTACGGTAGTGTCGCTTGGAGAGCGCCATAGCTGTGGGCCAATTCGTGGCGACAAGAACTGGTCGATCGAGCGAGCAGTCATATGAGAATTTGACGTAGGCCTGTCGTAGTCGGATCCTACCATTGGCATCCAGTTGTTACGATCAGATGGTGGGGAGCCATCGCCATTCGGTCGCTTCTTGCCTGCACATGACATTGGGTGTGGAACAAAAACCCCGGGAATAGATTGCAGGTAGTTGAACTTCCGTTGCATGTGAAGTACAAAGTTCAGGTCCTCCATTATCTGTCATACAACAGAACAGGTTAAGGGTAAGAGGCGCTGCAGTAGTGATACACCAATTTTCCAATATCGCCATATGTAGAAAATGATTATATTTGAGGCAAACAAACACCATGAACAATGTCTTCGCCAAATCAACACAGAGTAAAAGAGAGGTGGAAGTACCTTCTTAGTGGAACCCAACTGAAGAACACCTTCCTGAACTGCCACCACTGCAATGGTCTGGATTCCAGACTTAAACTGCGCTTCCCATGTGCGTGGATGCTGTTTTAAATCAAGATCTGAAGAATCAGTCAAAGAGAAATGCGAATCTGGGAGGTCTAAGGCCATAATGATTCTGGTGTAATTGACCATGGCAGTGGAATGTGAAAACCTACGGTGAACATTGTGAGTTTCCTAGGAAGGAGGAACTTACAGGATCAAGGGAGCTGTGCCATGGAGAAAGGAAGCTAATTTCGTGCTCTACCGGCTCCCGGTAAACCCACTTGTGGCTACTGTCAGCGGCGACCTTTCCCATCAAACTGTGAAAAATAACAACCAAACACTACTCTGTTAATATTCAACCCCTCACAATTATTACGTGGTTTTCAGAATCGTATCACACAAACATAGAGGAAAAAGGCGACGTAGCATCTTCATAAGTGTCAGCAGAAAAACAAAAAAAAAAAAAAAAAAAAAAAAAAAAAAAAAAAACATGGAGGAAAAATAAGATAATGACAGGTTCAGGCCAGAGAAGGTCGACATCTCGAGATGTGAGGGGTGGATGAAGGAACGAGGGGTACCCTTCTCCGTAATTGTAAACTTCGTGAGACATTTTGAAGAAAAGCTCGGGGCTCATTGCTTCACATTCGTCGCTGTTGCCTCGTTGCTTCGACTGAGCAGCCGGGTAAGACGGAGGCCCTCCTCTTGTGTCTTTCGCTACACCAGCAGCACATGCTGAGAAATTGCAAAAGCCATCCTCCCACACCAAAATCCTGCAGATCGTCCTCTCCCTCAGTAAGTGCCCAGCATCCCACAAATGCATGATTGATTCGCAAATTCTTAAGTTACTGTATGTTGTGGCCAGAAATTATATCAACAAGTGTTAGGTACAACTCCAGAAGCCACCATATGTTGAGCGATGGAAGATGCATACCAGTTGCGTTTGTTGCCCTTGGATCTGTCCATGCCACCTTGAGAATCCCATCTGCAGAGCAAGCCCAATTCCATGAGCTTTTCATATACATTGTCCAAGTCATTATTCACTGTCTTCGCTACGAAGTCCCACTGCAAACTACTCTTTTTTTTCTTTTTTTTCTTTTTTTAACGAGCATTGTGAGTACGCGACCAGAACTGCAATGACTTGCTACACTATTGGATTCACTAAAACCAAATCACCTTCTGTGACAAGTTGACCGCCGACGACAAGTGTGTAAGCAATGCACAAGACAGATCATTGACAATTCAAGATCACCCAAATATACTGACACCTGAATCGCAGTTACTTGCTACAGACTTCTCTCCAGATCTCAGTAAAAGTATTGGCAATGGAGATCCGATTCTCAAAACCAATTCAACTTTTACTTGTCAATGTGCCACTAAGACTAGAGATTGAAGGCTGTAAGAGAAGTCTCCAAGGTGCATGATTCACTTTCCAGGCAATTTATAGCACATGACAAGAGTTACACCCAAGAATCCAGCTGAAGGCTTGTGAAACTAACGATAGAAAGTTTCTTAGCAGAATTGAACAAACAAAAGTCACAAAAGCTTGTGAGAAGGAACGTACTGTGGAGGAGGATAATTGCGCGGCAAGATGCGCCAGAAGACTGCATAAACCCACTGTGACTCGGTGCAAAGCCTGCGAAGGGTATGCTGGAGCAAATGGTTCAGCGTCGGCAATCCTTGCTTGGTATCCATTCTGGGATGCGAATAATTCTCACGGTTCTAGTCCGTTAAGTAGTAAGCTGCCTCACAAATACTAAATTTTGAGTCTATCGGCAGGTCGACTATCAGCAAAGTACCGCCATCGAAGAGGTTGGAGGGCCGTAATAGCTGCCAAAACTGTTGGAGAATTTCAGAAGGAAAGATCTGGGGCCTCTCGACTTCGAAGCAAACTTTAAAGAGGTTGATCCAGAGTTCAGACGGAGATCAGGCAATCTGAGTGCATCTTCGATTGAATGCCCAGCGAACCCAACGAGCCTCTGGTTTCCTCAGCGGACAGTAAAAGTGCAGGTTCTCAAATGATTTTTGGCACTTCTATGTGCATGGTCCTTATCAAGGTAAATAGTACCTCAACCTGACAAATCAGCTGTGGAAAGAATAGTTGTGAAGCAATAAGAGCAGGATGGGCGACTGATGATTGGGCCAAAAATAGAAGAGATTTGCGGTGACGCGCCTCCGAGCATAAATCAAAAAAAAAATGGTTGCAGCAACGACTAACTTTCAATCCTAATGCAGGGGCAGCGCCGTCTTGGGACTGAGGTTGATTAAGGACCTGTCAAAATTAATGGGCTGTGAATCGTGGCCGTCAATGCAGCTGAGTACGAACCTAGATTGAATCACCGACGCGTCTTAGCAAAGACTGACCTTTCGGCGATGTCTGCCGCTGCTATGCTCTTTCTGCTGTTGCCGTGTTAAGGACTGCAAAGACCTGGCTGCCCCACTCAGAAAGCAAAGCCTGCAACTGTCAACGATGATGCGATAAAAGAATGCACTCAGCTTCTAAGAAAACCCTTGTAATACCCAAGAACACTCAATACTCGCACTTTGTCTCCAGCAGTCGTAACAACACCCTTACTGCTCACAAAACATAATGCCTTGCTTGCATCCGCGCTATTCACAGTTAAAAATATTTCATCAAAGCCAAATGGCTACTGTTAGCCAGAGTGATAGTCATCTATCTGTCCCTGATTTTTTCACTCCTACCGGTGGATTACGATCCCCTCGCGGTTGCAAGAACCCAAACACTAAGTCCAACAAGAACTACAACTTATTCACTCCTCCCTCAGTAAAATGAAGAAAAAAATGGAATAAAACCTCCCAGCGATCCGACACGGCGTCACTTGCACCCACAAGCACCACGACACTCCACAGACCACGACATTTACGTCTCCACACTCGGCCACCCAACTTCTGGTAATCGGAATTCAACAGACCCTGGCTAGATCCTTCTAAGCTTCCAGACGAAGAGGCGCCAAGCACCACTCCTCTACCATTATGATGACCTTCACATCACTAATTAGAAAAACCAACAGTACAGTAACCAACTACTCCACCCGCGGCGCACACACTACTAGCTAACACCATTAAGGGCTTTCAACCGCGTTCCACATCCAACTTCAACAAGATGACAATGACATTCTGATGCTGCTGGTAATGCTGCCCCCACCTCTTGCGCAACCCTGAGTAAAGACACGGTGTGAGGAGTGTGTTCCACCGATGGATCAGATTGCCAAGCTGTGAGTGGTCGAAGAGCAATGAATCGATTGTTGGTAATGTTGCTCTAGAACGAGAGGAAGAAGGAGCAAGAGGAGGAACTGGAGGAGGAGCAAGAGGAAAGGTCGCTCAATCTCAGATGGCGATGGACGGATCGTCAAGTCAAGTGGGAGTCGCGGACTCGGAGCTCGCAGCGAGGGAAGTCTGGGCCCCAGGTGACGCGGGAACGGCTTATAAGACGCCGACTGATGAGGGGCGCTGCTGCCCCCTCCCCGTTCTCACCGGTTTGCTGCCCCCTGTCCCAATTCACTTTTACTACCTTGATTCACTTTTACTATTGTGGTAATAATCTAGAGAAAGGTAAAACAAAACCAATCTGCGCTTTCACGGCCACCAGCACCGGCAGCTGCATCCTCTGCCACGCCACCTCGGATATCGTTATGGATGAATGTGGATGGATGGTATCTATAATCCCCTTCCTGTTCCAGTTTCATTCGTCCGCTCTTGCGTTGGAATGGATCTCTCCGTGGGTGACTCCTGCTTACTTTAGTTATTTCTTTTTAGAAAAAAATGAGATAGTGAGCCTTTTTTCTTATGGTATTTGCTTATTTGTTAGTTTGGTTTTTCTGAACTTGTGGTGAAAGGGCATTCATGTGGGATTCAGAGGCCATGACAACTAACTTTTCTGCTCCATTTGTACTTGTGCTGGTGCTTCTACTGCTGCTGCTACTACAACTCACTCCCTTTTGGAATTCTATAAGAAAATCCCAGTCTCATTTATTGAATGGACCTGTGTCTTTCTTTTTGGCAGAGACTTTCATACGACATCTATTTTTTGGTTGGTTGGTTGGTTGATACCCCCTTTATTCTATATAACAGTTTTTTTTATTAATTTTTATTTTATTTTTTGTCAAAGATCATTCTTGGTACTACCAAGAGGCATTTCTGAGTTTTATTGATCAACAACGACAAGCATTTACAAATGAATGAATGAATGAACGAATGAATGGAGATGAGGAGGAGTCTTGTGATGGAACACATTTATCAAAGGAAAGTTGCCAGCTAATCAAAAGTCTGGAAAGCCAGCCAAGGGCTCCTGTGATGATGAGGAAGAGGATAATTCATGCAATAGCTCAACAAACTCTCTTCTGCCACACAGGAAACCAGTTCTTTAACAACAACAACAACAATAACAACAACAAAATAAAAAATCAAAATCAAAAGTCTCTGATTTTTCATTTATGGGGGGGGGGGGAGAGAGAGAGAGAGAGAACATTGTCAACAAATGTCTACAAGTGCAGTGCCCATGCACTGCAGGTGGGGAACAAAGTGCTGCAGTCAATTCTGCTTATTCAATAGAAAGATGTCTCCTATTGACACACCAATAAAAAAATACTTGTATGATTGTATAATCAATGATATGCTCTTACAGGAAGCTTTGTTGAACTTTGGAGAACCTTTACTCATACGACATTCAGTTCATGCTTCAGTGTCCACACTCTTGCAACCTGCAAAAAGACTCAGAAATTGAGTCACCCTCTTTCACACTGGGATAAGTCCAGCTGCTTTTCTTATCTTTTTGCATTGCTGAAAAACCTTGTTGGCAGCTGTGCAGAAACACAAAATGTCAAATACAAAATGTCAAACACAAAAGGTCTGTGGAGGAGGAGGCAGCAAGCATCAAAAGTTGCATGGTGGGTTAAGAAAAAAAACAAAACACCAATCAGAACCTTTGGGGAATAACAACAATTGTAATAACTGCAGCAGTAACGTAAGAAAACAGAAAAAATATTATTATTAATGGAAAAGTTGAAAGTTAAAAGTCTTTCTTCCATGAAGAAACATCCAAGTGGACTTGAATTAACCATCTGCATATTCATTCTCTTGCAAAAGATGATAAGATTGTATTTAGTCATGTTGGCTCTCAGCACAAATAACTTTTGACTTTTTTTCTTTTTATTTTTTTCTGTTTATTTTTATTTTTTAATTTTTTTCTATTCTTCCTTCTTGACAAACCGGCACAGTTCAGCTTTCCACAACAATCTCTCAACAGCATTTTATTTTCTTTTTCTTTTTAAAAAGTATAGTTGTTCAAATGGGCCTTTATTTTGCCTCATCAAAGTGAACCCATGATGAATGAGACCATTCAAAGGATGATCTCCCATTCCAGTGGTCAGAAGTTGCTTTGTCCAACATTTGGAGTTTTGTGATGATCAAGCTTGTGGAAAAGCTTACACCATGGAACCAGTTACTGCATTAAATAACCATTTTTAAAAAGTTTCACAGCATCCATTGACCTCATCCATGTACTATTTAGTTTGATCTCATTAATAGTTTTGAAATTCAGAGTAGAAATTTGCAGTCTAGATATGCTTATCTTTGAACAGAAAGAATATGTTTATTATATATTTTATTTAAATATTTACCCCATTTCTACACTTGGAATTAGTAGGTGGCCATACTCACATTTGCAGCCACTTAGCTGTGTTTTCACAGAACATGATGGCCTAAAACTCACATAGCAAGATCTTTCAATTATTCATTGCTAAGGCACTATTAAAAAGCCTTAGACACCACAGCAGGAATATAACTGTTCCCCAAAATGTTCCTTACAACTGACTCTTTTGTGGGTACTGCTACTCACCCCTGGAACAAATTGCCATTACTCTCTACATGAAGAAATGTTGTGAGTCAACAACTAGAGGATAGATACAACCAATGCTTTTGAGAGGATGCGTAGCTCTGTTATCATGCTATCAATCTGGAAATGTGGGTAGACTTACAACAGAAACACTTTCAAAAGCATACATCATATTAAACATGTAGGTTGTGTAGGCAATGGACATGATGCTTGTGACTAAATGAGGTAGTTATTACAAAGAATAGATGAATGGGAGAATATAGACAGAGCTTTGACAGTAGTAGGACAGAGGTGCATGTACTGTGAAGGGCATTTGGGTCAAAGCATTTTAGGTTTGATTAACATGAATATCTCACATATTTATGTACACTAACAGGGTTTTAGAAAATTGAGTAAGTTCAAAATTACCATGGTTGTAATAGACTTAGGGTTTTGTTAATGCCACCAAAGTTTTTGCTACTGTCACTACAACTTGTTTTTATTGTTTTCTCAAATTGTTTTATTAATTTTATATTAATTATATTTTTTATTTGATTTAAAAACAAGAAAAAAATGGAAATGTTATGAAATTTTTTATTGAAAAAAAAAAACTAAATACTAAAACTAAAAAAACTAAAACTAAAGAAATATGTCCAATGGGTAGTATGTTATTGTAGGTGGAAAATTATGGTGGTAATAGCAAAACAATTAGTGGCATTAGCAAAATTCTAGATTTGTGTGCAAATAAAGTAAAATTAGTATCAAACATGTAATCAATTGGTTTTAGAATACCAACAAACATGTAAGTGATATACCTTTAATTTTTTAAAGTTACATACAAAATATCTAACATTATAGATATATTCAATATTTAACACAATACTAATCAGTTTCATCCAATTAAAGTAATATCAAAAGAATATCTATCCAAAAATTCTATTAGAAGCTATGCAAGTTTTTTGGTAGAAAAAATGCATGAGAAATTACAAATAATAAAAACAATTTTAACTAAGATATAAAGTTTTTTTCTAAATATATGGTAATAGCTTGCTTTGTAAGAAAAAAACCAATTAAAAGAGAACTTGAATTATATCTAGTTAACTTGAACTGTAAATTATTATATATAATATTATAAGTGAATTATATTAGAATGAATTTTTTTAATTAAAGTTTAATCTAAAAGAGATATTATCAAGAAGACTAATCTTTTAATATTCTATGTTACATCAAGTACATGTATCTTTTAAAATTAGATAAATTAATAAATAAATTAATAGTAAAACAGATGATTAAATAAATTAATTTAATATTAATTTCTATAGAATTTTAAATTCTAGATTTATAAGGAACAAATTTTAATCTATTAAAATCTTAATATAAGTAATTTTCAGTAGAATTTAGAGGAGTTTTTTAATGGCAAACATCAAGTTGCAACAAACATTAGACAAGAGATATGATTCAATCTTAAAAACAATAAATTAGTGGAGTGAAAATAAAAAATTTGTTTTAGAATTAAAAGAACAAATACATTATAATAAATATGTACAAAAATAATTTTCTATGAGCTACACAATACGACAAGCTTTTAATTTATTCTTTAAAAAACAATTATTGCTGTAAGATTTATTTATAGAAATAAGAAAAAATCGTAGAATATTATATATATATATATATATATATATAAGAAAAAATATTTAATTCCTCTTAAAACTTCTGTATATATATAGATATATATATATATATATAGATATATATATATATATAGATATATATATATATATATATATATATATATATAATTTTTTATTTCAAATTCATATGGAAAGAAAAAAATTCAACCAAAAAATTATAAATGCTTACCTGAAGCTTGAACTAAGACATGGTGTTACTAAAAGATTGATAAAATCTAACAATATATATATATATATATATATATATAATTAAAATTTAAACATAAGTAAATTAAATAAAGTTAGATATTTATTTATGTTTTGATTTATTTATTTGATTATTTTATAGAGATACCTTTTTATTTTCTCTTCTTTCTAAAAATTTTAAGTCCACTAAAAGAACCAATTATCATAGATATGAATATTGGAATTAGTAACTGAAAAGATAATATGAATTAGAAAGAAATAAAAATAAATAGAAATAATAATAACTTATAGAAAAGCTTCTTAAGAGCTTTGTTGATATGGATTTAATCTTAAAAGTATTTATAAGAAATTCATTAAGTTGAAAATATGGCCAAAATATTAGCCATATGTTGCAAATCTATAAAAAAAAAACTTTCTTTGTAAATTAATTACATATCATGTAAGTTGGATATATGCAAGATGATTTGCAAAGATTTTCATATACATTCGTATTTAGATAGTATATATAGAAGCATGAGTGAGATATTTTTCACACTTATTAATGCTTTTCTTGTGTTCTTATCTTAACTCAAGAATTCTAGTCTCTTTATATTTGACAATGATCATTATAATTTATTTCTTATATCTACCTTTAATTTATCTACTTTCTATTTTTGAGTGTCATAAGAATGTATTGCTTATTTATAGTTTGTTATAATTGATG